TAAATGGTCACATTTTCATATAGTGCTTTTGCACGTTCAAAGCCTTACATTTAGGAACCAGATGTTCCTAGATGTAAGGCTTTGACACACATTCATACACCAGTGTACGCAGACAGCAGGGGCAAGTGTCCTGCCCAAAGACACAAAAACAGCATTCATCTGTGGGAGCTGGAATTGTGCCAACCTGTGGGGTCAGTGCTTCTGACTGCTCCCTCACTGAAGCCTATGTCAAGAACAGGAATCAAACCACAAACCTTCAGATCAGTGGACAAACACTCTGCAGACTGAGCTACTGTCGCCCTAGGGAGCTGTTTTATTGTTATTTTGAGCACTTTTTCCTTTCAAAAGACATAATATTTTATTTCAATTGTTATTTTCTATGGCAATAGTCCTAATGTTTTCATCATTCTAAAACATCTAAATAACAAGAATTTGAAACCCAAGAACACACTGGTGTATTTTAAAGGTAATTTAAAATACTTTTTGGGTGCTTTCTGCCACCTGTACTCATCTCTGTGGACATGTCATTGCCATAAAATTCTAGGCAAAGCAATTTTATGGAGTATGGCAATAAACTTACTTAAACCATCTTCATGGAGACAAGCAGATGACACTGACAGGCCATGTTACAGGCACCTCTAATTTATTAATTGGACAACAACAAAGGATAATGTCACCTATAGTTTGAGATAGAGTGAGGTGAGTACAGCAGGAGGGTCTTGGAGGGGGGCTGTCGGTTACAATCACACAGCACAGCCCAGTTCGGAGTTGAGGATTACTGGGATTTGTGTGTGTCGCCTGTCTCCTCGCACCACAGGGCTCCAAAGGTTGAGCTGTGCTGGCCTCCTTCTACATGCTCCGACCTCACTTTGGCATTACACTCACAAAGAGAAAAGAAAGGATAACTGAAATTTCCCCTGACAATATATGTGTGTGTGACCAGAATGCCAATCTGGGGAAATAACAAATAAGGTGACAATAGGAGGAAACTATAAACAGCCTTGTTGACTTTACAGTGTTTGAATGTAAAAATAAAACAGTCCAACAGATAATACTTTGCAGCTGATGTCATCAACATTCCCTGGAGGTGTGATGCTAACTGTAGGCACTGCTCTGTCTGAAGCTTTATTATACTTTCATTTAATCTTTATTTTAACACAGTCTAACCAGATAGAGCTGCCTTAGTTGGAACTACAACAGGTGAGATGATTTGTTCTGTCTCTCACACGTAAAATTACAGATTACACACTGACAGTTTTTTTATTTAGTCACTCTCACCTTGTTGTTGAAAATCAAACTCTTAAACAGGACCATGATCACTTGTATTGAACACAAGCTCCTGAAAACTTGCTTTTTAAATCGTCTTCATCCAAAAAAACACTTTTGTCCAGTTGGAAGAATTGAATTTTACTTTTGCTTTGAAACCATTTGATTTTCTTGAATCTTTTTGACTGTTTTCTAATGTCTGCACTGTGTCACCATGGTAACTGCTGAACATTCCATCTTATAAACATGCATGTAGAACACCCCCAGTGTGATGTCATTGCAAAATTGCATAGTATGTACATAAGATTACATTTCAGGTGGTTGAAAGTGTATCTCATCAAAATGACTCAAGAGTTCATTGATAAGCAACTGAAGGGCTAAAACATGCACAATAAACCTCCCTCTAGGTACTCCTAACACAGGCTTAAAATGGCCAATCAGTGGAGAAGTTTGTCCTCACTAATAGACCTTATCCAGTGGAGATACCTCAGAAACCTGCACTTTCAGATAGTAGAAGTCATTCAGGAACAAGTGAGGCTGACTACTCCATCCACACCATCCTAAAGATCATAGACTGCATTTGGAGGCATATTAGGAATAGAGGTAGTTTTACAGATAAAATTGTGAAATAAAAACACCAGGATCATGTAGAGTGGGTTAATATGAACATTTTAAGACCAAAATAACGAGTCTCACAGCAGCAGTTACGGAGAGAGGAGTGACGATTTTTCAATACAAAGTGAACTGGAGCTGAAGTCAGTGGAGCAGGAAACACACTCATGGTCACTTCCTATTTGGAACATGACAGCTAGTGGGTCTGCTATGTCCATTTATATATTCAGTCTCTGGTAAAAAAAATAAAATAGAGAAATGACAATGCTTTGTAGAGGACACAGCCTGCTCAAATCCTCATAATTTGGTCTACAGCATCAGAGGGTATAATACTCCCTATAATGACAATACCACAGTTTGCTATAAGTACTATACATTTACAATACAATATGGGCAGTAGCATGCAAAGTCTGACACACAACCTTGTCTAAAATATGCTAACATTGTCTCAAAAGTGAACTTGATGAGTGATGCTTACCCCAGCGGATCATTTAAAGCCCATTTTTCCACTCGACCAGATGGCTAGTCCACTTTTTGGGCAATTTTCTGGTAAAATTACCTACCTGTCAACCAACGTCAGAAACAAAATCCTAAACAATGGGTCTTTGTCAGAACAGCAAAGAGGAAAGTTTATTGGCTGAAGTCTGCTCCAGCTGCCTCAGTCACCAGCTGCACAGCACGACCTGCCAACACCAAATCCCATTCATAATAACTCCATCATGTGACACCAATAGCTCCAATTTGGGCCATTATTTATTTATTTATTTATTTTGCTCTCTCTCTCTCTCTCTCTCTGTGTGCATAATATATTTTCCCTTTCAAATGCTACCAGAAAGAACTGTACGTATGAAGTTAGTTCTTGGATGAAAAAATGCGGAATTTGATGACATTCTTCTGACTTTTTTTTGAAATGCTGCGAAACATTGTAGGCAAACTTCTCTACACTGAGGGTGAGACCGATTAAGTGTCTTGTCCAAGGACACAATAACAACATTCATCTGTGGCTGCTGGAATTGCACTGCCAACCTACAGATCAGTGGACACACAACACAACTATACTCCTGTCCTCCTGTTTTAGTTTGTGTGCACACATTTTCCCTTTCAAATGTTTCCAAATGATCTGCATGTTTAAAGTTAGTTCTTAGATGAAAAAAAAAAAGAACACACAATTTTATATTGACATTCTGTTGGTACAAGATAACACAGTAATATTTGGATTTACTGGAGTGAGTCGGCTCTCTCTAAATGCGCTGAGTCATTTTATTAGGCTGAGAAAGAGTAGGACAGCATTCATTAAAAGTTACAACAAGAAGAAGTCCCTGACGATTGTTAATTAAAATTATTTCAATAGAGTGCTGTTTTTAATGAAACTGGAAAACTGATCAAATAATATAGCAAAAACTCCTGAAAACAAAGCCATAATCTGGAACATTACAGGTTAGCAACTGTATCAATACTTACATACACTGTACACCCTCAAAGATAATTTTGAGAGGGATTATCAAAATAAAAATCATAATAAAAATAAAATAAAAAGGTGAGCGTGGCGATATGAAAAAACTGACTATCAGAGTTTTGAAATATTTGTACTTTAAAAATTTGAAATTGCAAATGGCTATGGCAGTGGTTCTAATCTTTCATCATTCTGAAACCCATGGATAAACAGGAAGCTGAAATCCACAAATTCAAGGTATTTTTCAGCAATAAAAACACATGTGACAAAATACATGTGGTAGTTTAGTCTATTTATTGGGTGAAATGTTCGATAAACACTGACCAACAAACTGATAATGTTTATATATCTCATGCCCTGAGAGAGTATTCCATATTGCAGTTCTCAGTGTCATTTGATGTAACACATTGTACGTGCTGACACAGCTCTATGCTCACCCCATCAACTCAGAGAAAACACATAAATGCACCACCAAAGCCTAAATAAGTGTGGATAGGCCTGTGTTGATTTATGGAGCACATTTCCTGTGTAATAGGAACAGACAGAGGCAGCAGAGGCTCATGCTGTTTGCAGCTGGACACTTTACAATGTGCCTCTGTGCATCCTGACCCAGTGCCATCTCTGTATACAGCACTGGCTTTGAATAACACTGTGGATGCCATATCAGACTTTTATAGAATAAGGTACATAAACAGATGGATGGTTATCTGAACTTCAGTCAGTCTCATAATAAATCTACTGGAGTAATATTTTTATTGATGTAACAGTACTCTTTCAAGATGTTGGTTATTTGGTCTATACTTTGCAGCAACATTCCCTGGAGCTGTGAAGCTAACTGTGGGCTCTGCTCTGTCTGAAGCTCTGTGACTCAAATTAGACTTTGATCTGGCCTTTTTTTTTAAACGCTAACTGAGCAGAACTGATTTAACTTAAACTACAATAGGTGAGCTGATTTGTGCTGTTAAACAAGACTCTCACACTCACACTCATTCAATTACAGCGACAGGTTTTAGACAGCAGTTTTTCAGTTAGTAATTTTCACCTTTTTTGTTGAAAATTACACACCTAAACAGGACCATGACTGCTCATACTCACAGGTGGTGTTTAAAGCCATTTAGTATTTTGTTCTTGAGTTTTTGGAAAACTTTTTTTTTTTTTTTTGACTGTGTGCCAAATGCCACATCTTCAACTTAATGTCACTGCAAAACATTAATAAATAACAAAAGCCTCATGTAGACTATATCACAAGATATGAATATTTGCATTCTTGCACCTTCAGATATGACTTTGGAATGACCACAATGTGTTTATTATTTAGTGTCTTCTCTGTCCAGTACAACAGTCAGACAACAGATCTTATTTGAGTCTAAAAAGTATTTTACACCCATTTCTGTCATTATATTTCACCTTACGTCATCAGGTAGAAGAAGGACATTAGGATGACCAGCTTATCCGTAGAGGTGAAAAAAGAGGTTACTGGGAGAAAAAGATTGGCAACCACTGGATTACTGTAACTGATATTTTGTACAAACTTGTCCAACTCCTGACTTTCCCTTTCTACATGTTCCTTCTAGATTAATCATAATATTTTGAAAGTTAGTGCCAACTCTACCCTCCTGATTTCGTAAGAAAATCACACTGGAGAGACACTTTTAGTCCTTGGTGTCTCTCAGTGTCGGGCATGACACATGACACCAGTAAACTTTATTTTGGACAGCACCCGCTCCTCCTTTGTGACTGCACTGAAGTCCATCGTCTTCAGATGTGGTAGGACAGCTATTACGTGACACCTGTACACAAATACATTTTGAATTACTTTTATTATGTAACATTAAAGATGCACTATGTAACTTTTCTAGTTGGAACTTCACCTTCTACCTGCTTGTTTCCATGGAGATGTTGTTGCTTGCTTTAATGTTTCACAGTATGGCAGTCAACTTAAATATTTGTTTAATTACATGTGTTTTTGCTGCACAAAAATACCTGGTGGTGTCATCTGCTTGTCTTTTTAACACAGTGAGAAACATTCTAAGCAAACATTTCCATCAAATTTTGTGGCTTTAGATTAGGAACTATCACTAATTAACCGCAAAGGGTATTATAATGCTCATGCTTAATTGTATCTCTGTTAGTATTTATAAAGAACTTTTGTGTAGGTAATATTTTATTAGTATAATATTTTAAGTATTGATACGTGGCAGCGACATGATGCTGGGGGAGTATTCCTCATTCCTGTTCAGTGATCATGCTGACACAAAGCACACATAAGCAATAACTACCAAAATAGTTTTTTAGAAACTCCAGAAAAAAAATAACAAAATGGAGTTAAACAACACATTTACAGGAGTCTGTGATAACCAGCATTCATGATCCTGTTTAGGAGTTTGATTTTCAACAAAAATGGTAAGAATGGTGAAAAACTGTTGATGTGGTGTGACAGTAATTTTATGTGTGAGAGACTTGTTCAACAGCACAATTCATCTCTTCCTTTGTAGTTCTGGCTAAACTCGGCTCTGTCTAGTCATATTGTGTTAAAAGAACGCTCAGATCAAAGTCACCGAGCTTTAGACAGAGCAGAGCCTACTGTTAGCGTCACACCCCTAGGGAATATTGACGATGTCAGCTGCAAAGTATCAGTTCATTCATTAACTATTTTCATCCTATTAGTAATCTTTTCGTTAACAGTATATGATTTTGTATGAACTTGAATCTTAAGTCTTAATAATACTTACCAACTGCTGTAAAATCACTAATTAGAATATCAGTTACCACTTTAATATGTGTCCCTGAAACTGCAGTGTGAGCAATAGTGTATTAATAATGTTACCTGTATCCTTTGGTAGTCTCTATGGCGTTCCCATGTAAGGTGATGGTGTGGAGGTAAGGCAGCTGGCCCAGCTTATCCACCTCAGAAAGGTTCCAGATACTATTACCATGGAGATACAATACACGCAGCTCTCGCATCCCACACAAAACCTTCAACATAAACACATCACTCGTCTTTATAGGTACACAGGCTATAGTGAAGAGCACATACAAGCATTGTAAACTCCAAGGTAAGAAAAGGATGTGGTTGCTACAAGGGCACGTTGCATTATGAGTTGAGAAAAAATAGTATCAAAAGAGGTGGGTTAAGTAATGGGCCCAAGGACACAACAACAACAATCATCTATGGAATTTGGAATTGCACCGCCAACCTATGGGTCAGTGGTACTGGTCGCTCAGCCAGTGAAAGTGAGATTCGAACCACCAACCTTTGGATCAGTGGACAAACACTCTACTGACTGAGATATGTGTAGAACAAAGTCTTCGAGCTTTATGTTGGATTTAAAAATGAAACCCTTGTCCAAATTTACAGCAGTGTGTTATTTGTATCACAGAGAGGTGCCCGCAGCTCACCGGGTCGATGCGCTCCAGTTTATTAAAGGAGAGGTCGAGCCAGCCCAGTTGGGAAGGTCTGGACAGCAGGTGCCCCAGGAGGAAGGAAATGCCCGTCAGGTCACTGATGCTATTGTTACTGAGACGTACCACTCGACTGTGGTACTTCCCACTGGAGCTGCTGGCCAGAGGACGCACACCGCTCCGAGGAATCTCAGCCATGGCTCCTGCAACATGGAACCCAAAAATAATAAAGACAGAAATAAAGTTGATTCTTGAACTTATCCATGTTTCAGAATGATTAAAGGTTGTATGTTATCAAAAATTGACTCTTGTGCGCTATAAGCCATGTTATAATGCTATTATAATGCTATAAAGGAGTTGTGTTTCATTCACACATGTTTGAGTAATTCTTTATCACTAGTCTGTCTACATCTCCAAAGCTCACAATGCTCTGTTCCACCTTGTGATGTCACCACAGCCATCTTTTACCTTTTGTTTAGTAGAAATGGGCAATTCCAGGGCTGAAATCCATCCAGATTATTCTAATAAAGGTGTAGTTTAAAACACAGTAGAGCACTTCTTGCATTACCACATAACTCACAAAGTGGAACAGCATGTTTTCTGTTTGAGAAAAGAACTCAGCCTAAACATGCAGGGTTTGTGTGTTAAGTATGTGTCAATGAAACAAAACACAACTCCATGTATTTGTGATGAGGAAACAACATTATAACAGATCTGATATGTGGAGTCCTCAAAATATTATTATTAAATTAACAGGAATCTGAAACTCATGAACACCTCATAAAGTACAAGAACCATTGTTATATTCAAATTAGCCAAACAAAATGAAAACAAAAAAATACAGGAGAGCTATGGTCAAAACAAGGACAAGGTTGGACTAAATCAATGCTAATTTTGAACTGAAAGAGGTGTAAATAAACTCAGAACGAAACCATGCACAAACTCGTAACAAAGATAAACCAGAAAGGAAAACATCACATTAGTCCCTGCTCCTTATTTTGAGCTAAATCTACTGTATTTAAGTTATTTCTCATTACCTGTCACGGTGGAGAGGTTTTTGAAAGACAGATCTACTGGAGGGCCATACATGTTTCTTCAGAAAAACAATGTGTTTTGAATAATAACACTAAAACAGTAGAATATTTTGTGTATAGCTAATATTATGTTATCCCATACATAATGAATACCAATAAAGGCAAAAAAAACAACAACAAAACTTTAATACAGTTTTGAATAACAATTTCTGATTCAATTCAAACTGTCTTGCATTACAGTTACCATGGCGATGACATTGCGACTTAGAACCAGTAATAAAAACAACTGTTCAAATCATCCAAAAATGACAACTTAAAAGCACATTGTGTAACTTTTCTAGTGGAGGGTCCAACAAATGCTTTTCTCCACAGAGATGTTCTTGCTTTGCCTGGAATGTTTCACAGTGTGGTATTAATGCTATGTTTGTTTATTCATCCGTCTCATACTCGCATCTCGGATACAACGTCACGTCTACGCTTCAACCGTTTTATTATGTTTCGTGTGTCCAACTCGGAGAAAAACGTGGACGCCAACCGGAAAGCTGTTGTTGTCTGAGCATTGGCCGAGTACCAGGCGCTCCAAAATAAGTCTGTGCTTCAACTACACAACCCTGAGGAAGAATTCAGTATAACTAGTATAATTCAGTATAACAGTGAAGTGAAAGTGTTGGTATCGCGTGATAGTAGATCATTTTGGCACGTTAGTTTGCAGGAAATGGGCTAAAAACATGGGCGACACTGACTACCGTACCCATAAGCAGTGATACAGACGCAGTAAGGTATTGCAGTAATATGAGTGACTGAAATTGTCATTTAAACCGCCAAAGCGTCCAAACACAATGAAAACACGTCATATTACAAGTGACAAGTGGACGCAGCCATTTTGGATTCTGTCTCAGAATCCTTGCTCGCTCTCCTCCGAGCTCGTCTGAGTTCTGAGTTGCACCTTACGTTGAGAAGGAGGTGTCAGTGCGTGTCACTAGGCTGCGTTCTTGGACCTCTGAGTTGGATGGATAATCGAACACACTGTAACACTCGGCATAAACATCATGGGCTGAGCGGTCAGATCCACTGATCCACAGGCTGGCTGGTGTGATCCCAGCTCCCAGAGATGAATGCTGTTGTTGTGTCCTTGGGCAAGACGCTTAACCCACCTTGCCCTCAGTGTCTGCATACACTGGTGTGTGACTGTGTTTGTAAATGGTTCCTTGTTGCAAAGCACTTTGACCACCTTGAAAGTGGAAAAGCGCTATAAAAAATGTGACCATTTACTATTTACCATGAGCCTTTATATCTTCATGGAGACCAAACCTGACCAAGTTGCAGACCAGCAGAGACGCATCTCCCGCTCACAGTCAGAATGCCCCTTTTTTTTTTTTTTTTTAGATATTTTGAGCTAAAAAAACAACAACAACAACAAAAAAACCCACTGGTTATTTAATAAATGTAAGGTAGAGCTAATGTCATACGGGGAACATTCCAGGCAGAGGAAAAAGTCGCATAGTGCACTGGTAAGTTGGGCTTGATTGGGCACTAGCTTCTAATAGAATGGCCAATGCCCTCCATCAGCCCCCTCACATATTTTTGCCATTCAATCTCAACAAAAAAAATTCAAATGGTAAATACAATGCTCAAAATGAAACTATAACAAAACTATGATTCCATAATAGGTTTTATAGATCACTACAGGGTCTAAGTACATTTACATTTGTTTAAAGAGTGAAGACAGGGTGGGGGGGGTGCACACTCATATATTAAATGTGCACCCCCATAGCTCCTGCAACCAAAATGTCCAGCTCTGCCCCTGTTTCCAAGTAGGGATTCCTAGATGGATGGGTGTTCAGTCTAAATTTACAAGTCGGAACTCAGAAAATCCGACCTCCAAGGACAACTGACAGAATTATTTAGCTTCAGATTCTTCTGTGAGAGTGAGCAGACAGATACACTGTTAGTTATCTCTGTACTTTTATCAAACACAATCCTTTTCATGAAGTTTTTAATCACCATCACTCAGGTCTGTGAATATTAAAAAGTCTATATAACTCTGTAAGCCTGCTTTATTTGTGTGTTTCAGAACATAAAGAGCACCAGAGTTCACCCTTTCACACAATTCACTGGAAGGACATAATATTTTGGTAGGGATGGTGAATAACTAATTACAACTTTGAAGTACATTTCTGTTTAAGTATACTTTTAAACATGTTCTTGTACTTGTAATTAAGTATAATTCAGAGTACTTTCTCTGCCCATTTCTACAAACACACATAACAGCACTGAGCTCACTGAATAAAGCATGATCCAAAATGTAAGATGTAGTAGTATTCTTCATGTGTATGTTTTACTTAAGTACAAAATCGGCATACTTTATTTTCATTCCTTTCTTTCCTCTTCTGGATTTCGTACACTTCTCTATTACACTGTATGGACTGCTTGCTATGAATAATATGATTTGCTTGTTTCTGGAGCCCCATGGTACTCCCTTTCTGAGATCTTGTAGCAGAAAAGATATTGCGACATCATGACCTCTGTGTGACAGCTCCAAGCAGTGGCCTTTAACCTTCTCCAGCAGAAGACTATTTTACCACTGCTGAATATCTCAATGGAAATCTGGGTATCACAGACAAGTCCAATGTTATGAAATACTTTGGCAAAGTTAGATATGAACTTGATGGTAGCACTTTATAATAAGGACACTGAACTTAAAAGATCTTTGTCCAGGCTTTATTCAAAACAAATTAAACTGTAGTAATTAGAAAGTTATGTAAATCGTTGATACCAAGATACACCTTACTCTTACTTACTTATTGTAATTTGAACACAAACCTGCTCTTGTGTTTTAGAGTGCCTGGACTTCCTCTATTCCTGTTAAAGGGACAGTTCAGAATTTCGGACATAGGGCCTCATTTCCTAGTGAGCCAGAGTGTTGCGTGTGGAGACACTTTTTTAAAATATTCCATCCAGTCCTTGTATTTGTAGAGGTTGATGGTGCTAGGCTAGCGCATGTCAATGGCCATAGTTAGCCTGCCACTAAAAACAGTCTTACCCACTCCACAAAACACCGCAACCAAATCTATTATTATGCCAGACTGTCGATGTAAAGGTCTGTGTTGATAAAACAATGTTTGAAATAAAACTAAGCTTGCATTACATGATTTGTCGCATGTTGAGGGACTATTTTCTCATATATCACTCCGCCACTGCCAAGCTTTCTATTAGGAAATACAACTCGCTGCTGCTGCTCAGACATAAATCCTTCAAATGCAAGGTTGGTTTTACTTCCAAAATTATTCTATCAACACAAACATTCACATGGACAGTCTGGTGTAATAATAGATTTGCTTTGGGTGCTTTGTGGAGTGGGTAAAATGATTTTTAGTGGCAGGCTAACTATGACCATTGGCATGCACTAGCCTAGCACTAGCGACCTCTGCAAATACAAGGACTGGATGGAATATTTAAAAAAGTGTCTCCACACGTCTCCAACACTCTGGCTATCTAGGAAATCAGGTCAGAAATTCTGAACTGTCCCTTTAATAGAGGAATTTGCTTTTCATTGCAAATTCCAGATTGTTAATATATTGATATTTAAGCCGCACACAATAAATACAAAAAATTGTGGTTATGAACACATGTTTTGTTGAGTGGCCCTTTATTACTATGAGATGTTTTTCCCTTGAAGTTAAATGAGCACTGTGTAGCTTTCCTGGAAGGGGTCCACTACCTGTTTGTGTTCCACGTTATGACCTATAACTGTGCCTGATTTCACTCAGTCTTTATCTCCATGACTAAAGAGAACATTAAGACCATATTCTAGTAGTGTAAAATTCTTGGCTAAGCACTAACATTTCCACAGAGACAAGAAAATGACAGGCCCTCTACCAGCAGATGTCCAAATTCTTTGTTATAATTTGGTGTTTTGGTTCCCTATATGATAATCCAATCAGAAAGCAAAATGAGCCTCTAATGAGTCTCTGCATTACAGTCGTTCAGTGTAATGCAGTTGGACCGTCTCTGATCTGAATCCTTACTACCAAAACCCCAGCGTCTGCAGACAAGCATTAATCAGTGCCTGTGCAGTTGCAGTATATGCTGTCCAGATACTGAGAAAAAAACAAAACAAAAAAAACGTGTTTGTGTCCTATACAAGAAGTTTAAATGTCCTATTATGTACAAAAAAAAAGACTCTTGTCCGCTTTAAGCCATGTTATAATCTTTTTAGCTCATCATAAACATACTTAAAGTTGTGTTTTGTTTCAGTCACATATGATTGAGTAATCCTTTATTATTTGTCAGTCTACAATTTCTAAGATCAAAATGCTCTGTTCCATCTTGTGATGTCATCAATTGGTAGTTTTCAAGTTAACAATTAGATTTTACCTTTTTTTCAGTAAAGATGGGCAATTTGAGAGCTGAAATCATTCAAATGATTCAAGTGAAGGTGTATGGAGTTTAAAAAAGCTGTGGAGCACTTTGTGTATTGCCACATAACATCACAAGATGATGAGGAAAGAGCATTATAACATAGATAATATGGGCTCTTTAAGGCACTGGCAATTTATAGGGTCAGTTGTGATTGTACTACCTTCTTAAAAACGATAAGTGCACAAAAAGTGCCAGAAGATAAAAAATAAATAAATAAATAAAAAAATACTGTAGGCTACTGTTAAAAATGTTTACATATAGTTCAAACAACAACCCAAAGAAAAGAAAGTCTTACTAAATTTTACAAATCTTGGTGACTAAAGTTTTCTGGTTTTTAACTTGAGCTATAGTCCATAACAGAACAGAAATGGTGTTGAAAGCCAGGCTCACAGAATCTTAAAACTTGAATGACTTTCCTTTGTAAGATGGCTGCACCTATTCACACGTATTGCATCCACATCCTTTAGTTCTGATAGCCACCATTTCAACTGAAGGCCTGTGAACGAGGTTTACCTGTACTTGTCGACGATGCACTCAGCGGCTCTGTGCTCTCGGGCTGCTCAAATGGACACGCTAACTGGAAATAAATAAAAGAGGAGCTCCCCAAAAGAAAAATGTCTGAACTGAAGGTGG